AATAAAGGTGTTTTTATTCCTGGGGTTACTTCTCAGCTCCTCTGAGGTTATTTCAATTTTTCATTTAAAAAGGCAGCCATTTATTATGGGAATGTGTGCATGCACGCGTGAGGGGGATTTTTCCAGCTAACAGGATATTCAAATATTAAAATGATCCCCACATTTTAATTTGTTTACTTCTCTCCACATTGACCTCTGTTTTCTGCAATCTTCACATCCAAACACATAAATCAAAGGCAGATCTAAGGCTCAGCAAATTAAAAAAGCAGCATAATTAAGGAGCAACCTACAATGTTATTTGGGCTCAAATCTTGTGTTGCCTGTAAAAAATGACACTTCTTTTTTATTTTAAGGCCTGAATCCTGCATTGGGACTCACTCACATGGATCCCTGCAAATGTGAGGAATCCTATCCGCTTAACTGGATTCTATAAGAGCGCGAGGGTCAGTGCTAGTGGATCCCAATACAGGATATGGGCCTAGTGGATTGTCCAATTTGCCCACTGATCACTGTGTGAAAAGATGCTACAAGGCAGAAGTGGCTTCAGGAAGTGACAGGGTCCTAAAACTAGAGCTGCTTTCAAAATAAGTAAATAAATAAAAATTGAAAACTTCAGTAAAAACAGTAACTTCTATATCTAGACAGGATTTTTTTCTCCTGGTCTGTACCTCTGATTGTTAATTGTGGTTGCTTTCTCATTGTCCCATTTTAGCAAGTAAAGTTAATCAACTCTTGAATAAAGTTTGACCAAACATTATCTATGGTTCTATCCTAATGGGATTCTCTCTCTCTCCATATGTCCCAAATAGAACTTGAATAATTTTCTGTTTATTTTTCTGTGCTGACTCCATCCTGCAGACTCTCAACATTCTGGTAGAATTTCACACACAACTTTTTCGTTTCTTAAGATAAAGTAAATGTCTTTTTCAAAGCCTCATATTCCACTTAAAAAAAAAAAAAGCCTTCCAGCTGCAAAAATGTTTTTGGTTTCATTCCCACACAGCATAAGTTAGTGCATTCCTCAATTTCAGTATGATTTCTCACATGGACTTGATGCCGGCTCAACTTTGTCAAATTGTCCGAGCAATCTGGCCAAGGTTTAGATCATCGTCATCTTTGTCTTCCTTTTGTCTTTTTGTAACTGTATGAAGCCAATTGAAGGAGTCTGAGGGATTTAGAGATTTTTCTGACACCATGCTGTGGTTCCAGGCTGTGATTTTTTTAAATCCCAAATAAAAAATGGGCTATCATCTGTAGGGTGGTAGCATGCATTAGCTCACTTTCAGTGATTTCTTTTCCTTCCATCACACGTAGTTGTGGAAACTCAGATGCCTGGGTCATTCAAAACATGACAAAAGCTCTAAAAAAAACATTAGAAACAATCTTGCATTAAGAAAAAGACAGACCAAGTGTCTCAAATAGATTGTTTCTTTCTCTAATTTTTGATTTTATATTTCCTTACTAGTAAGCAAGATAGTGTTCTCCATGACTCCAGATAGTAGTTTAGTAATAAATGTACCACTACAACACAGGCAGGATGAGAATCTCTCAGAAATGGTTTAGGGCCAGAGTTTATGAATATAATAATTTTTTTCCTGGGATCTTATTTATTAATAGAAAATACAAATGAAGCACTTACTACATCCTTGCCAATACACGTCTTCCACAGGATGAGGGAGAGAGGAGTTATAGATGAAACACTAGTAATCTTTATATTTCTGTCATACATAAATCTTGAAATGGTTGCTCTCTGGTTAAAAATAACTTGATCCCAAAAGACGCTGGGTACGTGCCACTTCCACTAAAGTCCCAAATGAGAGCTAAAAAGAAATAACTAATTCATAAATTTTACCAATTATAAAGCAATTTTCATCCATACATCTCGAAACAAAGAGCAAAGGCAGAGATCATATAACAAGACAATGGCAGATCTAGGAAGAGGAACTGAACCTAGGTCTCTTGTCTCCTAGTTCGATCTCTGTAGTATCTACTTCCTCCCATGTGGCAACTGAGCTTCTCAGGATCAGTCCTGAAGTAGGACTAACTGGAAAACTGAAATTGTCTATGTTCAGCTGATTTTTAATGATCCATGTGCAAATGGATTAGCGTCTTGATACCATGGTAACTGGCACTCTATAAATATGGATGTACATTTTAAAGTATCTTAAAGCACGAGCAGTTTTGCTCCTTAGTCTGTCTGCTATTATTTTAATGTGGACACACTCTGTATGGAGATACCAAGAACTACTCACCATTCATTCACAGCACTTGGTACCTCTGAGTTCATTAGTATTTTATAAAGGCCAAGAAAGAACTCCTTGGGGATACCATGCAAATACATAAATTATAGCATATGTGTTACTTTAGTCCTCAGAAAGGACTAAAATAGCTATCACATGGCAAGAATTCACAGGCATATTAAGCAAAGCTATTGAGTTCAGATTCAATGTTATTTAATTTTTTTTAAAGTATTATTGTTTATATTAAGGTAGCACACACAGGCTTCAAACAAGGTCAGGGCCCCATCTAACTAGGCACTTTATAAACACACAGTCCCTGCTCCAAAGAACTTACAATCTAAATAGGCAAGACAGAGTGAGAGAAAGGAATATTAGCATGTCCATTACGACTTTCCAGACATATTACTTCAGAGTCACAGATTAAAAGCCAAATAAACATTAAATCAGAACTATGTGTCCAATACTATCTCAAGAGGATTTTTTGAGGGAGAGCTATTCCTGCAGTCTTCAGTACAATGGGACTGTGCATTTCAGTTTAAATATATTTTTAAGACCTTTATGTATATTGGGTACATTGTAGGTTGCTCCTTAATGATGCTGCTTTCCTAAACTAAACATGGTTTTATTGGGTAGTGTGTTTTATTGTAATAAACAAACCAAAAATATATATTGGACCTAGTTTACAACCCTGGATTTGTTTTAGCAAAAGAGGCGTACATTTAAAAAATAAAAGAACAAGTTAGTACTTAATAAGATCTATTAATATGTATCTCAATACTAATCTATATATAACATTTTACAAATAAAGGGTCACTTTAGTTTGAGTAGTACTTTATTCCACAAGTAGTCCCACTGAAATTTATGGGGCTATTTATGGAGTAAAGAATACCCAAAGTGAATACAGGTGGCCCAAAACAAAGATAATGCAGGTTCAGGGCCAAGATGGTAACACCAATGAAAATAGAAGTGCCCTTAAAATACTGCCAAAGAAGAGTAAACACAAATGTGTATAGCTTTTCATTTGGTTTGTGTGTGTATAATTTGAGAAGAACATGTAGTCAGAGCAAAGGATTAGGTGAGCCTGGAGGGTCTTTAGGTTCTAGTCCTAAGTGAAGCACTGAATCACTATGACACATTGTGCAATTCACTTGGCATATAATTCCTTATGTTCAGTAATGCATGGAACTTCAAAAATTTCCATTAAGCATCCAGAAGTTTGTACATTGCAAAGCTTAGGCTTGGAAACCAGGCCAGAAATACTTCCAAGGTTTCAAACCTGGTTTGAGGCTGTATGGAAAACACTGTCAGAGGAGCCTCTTGAGGCAATTCCTCTTCTGGTTGGAACTACAAAGCACTGAGTAGGTCTGCTGGAAAAACAACAACTCTCTTTTGGGAAAAAATTGAGATTATGCCATTTGTTTTTAATCCAATGCAGAATGAAAATGGAACTACACAAAAAGACATGAGAGCAAGACCTACACCAGAACAGCCAGGTGGTTAGAGCACTTATTTGGAATAGTGGAGACCCAAGTTCAAGTTCTGCTGTACCTGATCCAGTGCACAGACTAGAACCTGGGTCTCTCATGTCCCAGGTGTTTGTCCTATCCAATGGGCCATAGAATCAGTCTCTCTTGCTGGCCTACTTAATATTTAATTATTTATACAGAGTGAAACAGCACCAACAAAAGAAGCAGTGCAAGGCTGACGCTATAGCCCAGTGGTTAAAAGTACATAAGAACAGAACACAAGAACGGGTCAGATCAAAGGCTCATCTAGCCCAGTAGCCTGTCTTCTGACAGTGGCCAATGCCAGGTGCCCCAGAAGGAATGAACAGAACAGGTAGTCATCAAGTGATCCATGCCCTGTCGCCCATTCCCAGCTTCTGGCAAACACAGGCTAGGGACACCATCCCTGCCCATCCTGTCTAATAGCCATTGATGGACCTATCCTCCTTGAATTTAGCTAATTCTTTTTTGAATCCTGTTATAGTCAAGTACATGCCTGGGGCAGTGGAAGACTCAGGTTCAAGTCCCTACTGCAAATCAGGCAGAGAGAGGACCTGAACCAAGGCTCTTTCACATCACACGTGGAAGACGTAAAATATTCTATGCACCTGGGAGGATGTATTTTGGGCTACAATCTATGTATAAGTAACCACATAGTATTTATTGCTGCGACCCAGGGTTGTAGGATCATTTGATAGAAGTTAATATGTGCTGCAGAACAGTTTAATGAAAAGATAAATACTGCTTTTCAAGTTTTAACTCAGAACATCTTTGCTTGTATGGCTGCCTGAAACTGAAATCTTATTTGAATTCATTTAGTAAAAATCCCATGGCAGTGGGAGCAAAACAGTAGGCAGGCATCACTTGCAACTCCACCATCAAATCTGAGTTCTCTCTCTCAAGGAGGGATTCAATCTGTTATGTATGCAAAATATATTATCCTCCCCACAATTACAGCACTTTGAGTAAATGAATGAATTTTCTGATAATTTACAACTAAATACATTATGTTAGAAGTTAAAATTTTTAGCAGCCCGTGTTAGACTTTTGGGGGAGGAGGGGTCTGAAATGATCTTACTAATAGAATAACTCAGACCATTCAAACTTACCATATAGTTTTCAGACATCCAGATAAAGGACTCCATTAGTGGGGAAGGAGGGTGAGTCACAGGATCCATGTGGACAAAGCATTTTGAAGAACTCCAGTTAGTTAATGTAAGGTAAGTAACCTCTCTTTTTTTGAGCATGCATCCACATGGATGGCAGTGTAGGTGGCTGGCTAGCAGCTACCTCTCAAGAAGGTAAGTGATAGGAGTCCTCTCTAAATAATTGTAGGACAGCCCAGTCAATCTGGGCATCCAATCTAGATGCAAATGGAGTAGTGATTGGTCAACATATGAACAGAACTCCAAATAGCTGCTCCACAAATCTAAGAAACAAGGACTCCACTACAACAAGCTACAGATGTTACCTGAGCCTTAACAGAATGTGCTCTAACTCAAGAGGGGAGCGATAGTTTGTTCAATGCATAAGACGCTTTAATATGTTAGGTTATGTCTACACTACCGGGGTAAGTCGTGAATAACGTAGCTGGAGTCGACGTACCTTAGATTGAGTTACCCCGGGGTCTACACCATGGGGGGTAGACAGCAGAAAATCTCCTGTCCACTTACTTTACTCTTCTCTCAGAGGTAAAGTACAGGGGTTGACTGGAGAGTGATCTGCAGTTGATCTGGCGGGTCTTTACTAGACCTGCAAAATTGACCGCTGGTGGATCGATCTCAGAGCGTCGATCCCCGCTGTAGTGTAGACCTGCCCTTAGAAACTCACTTTGAGAGCTTTTGGAACAAACAGCCCTTCCATTGGATACATTACTAAATGCTAAAAAGCAAAACAATGGGGGGTGGGGGAGAAGAGGAGAAAACAAAACCCACCATCACAGGTGATTTGTTCCAGAAAGGTAAAAGGACATAGCTCTAAGAACATTTTAGTCTCTGCAGGAGAGTCATAAAGCTTGGAAATAGATCCTGGTAAGTGTATAAATTGATTTAAATGAAACTTAAAACAATTTTCAGTAAAAATTTCAGGTGTGGCCTAGGGTAATTGTCCTTATGGAATACAGCATATGGGAAGCCCGCTCTCAAAGCCTGCGTTTCACTCAGTCTGCAAGCTGAAGTCATAGCCAATTAAAAGTGCTGTCTTTGGAGAGATATAATGAACATGACAACATAAGTTCAAAGAGACGGCCCACTAACAGCAGCAGCACCAGGTAGGAAAAGGCTCTTATACTAGTAGAAATATGAGCCACCTTTAATAGAAATCTAGATATTGTGTTTGTGTGGGGTGGTGGTGGTGGGAGGGAACAGAATGGCCCCCACCTTGCAGATGGTATTCAGAAAGTGGCCAAATAAGCTCTAATAGAACTGACTGAGGCTCCCTAGTGTTTCAGAATTCAAGGTAAGTGAGATAAAAGACTCCAAAGACTGAATGTGCCTTTGAATAGCCTACAGCGAAAAGTGCTTCCATTTAGCTTTATATATCAGTCCTGCAATAAGACTTTCAGCTCTGAGTCAAAACCTCTTCAATCGCCACCAAACAGCTTCTATAAACCACATAATCTCCATGACATCAAAGGTATAAACATTAGGTCCAGATGTAACACTAGGCCTTGATTCTGTGAAATGATGTCCAGAAAGTATGTAAGTGGAACAGGTGAGTGGACTGATACATGAGACAGGTTAAAGAGCTAAAACTGTTGTACCCAGGCTGGAGTTATCACCCGGGCCTTGTCTTGTCATATCTTCCCAAGCACTTTGGCAATTAGCCAGATGGGGTGGACAGGGAAGCATATAGCAGCTCCTTTTCACATTGAATCAGATGCACATCTGTCAAAGAACTTACTTCTTCTTGGAGCAAAATACGGGAAATTAATTGTTCATATTGATGGTAAACCGATCTATTGAGGGGACTCCTTCTCCCCCTCCCTGCCAGGCCTGAACTCTTGATCTAGAAGGGAACAGAAGTCAGTCACTCGTGGGTCACAGAGCTCTACCTGCTAAGCTGATCTGCAAAATTGTTCTGGGCCCCTGGAAGGACTATCGGGTTGATTTGATGAAGAATGTACCAGTCCCACAAAAGAACGGCTTCCTAACAAAGGGGGAAGATTTTGCATGCACACGCACATACACTCGTCTCTTTCCATAGTGGATTGTTGCCATATTGCCTGTTAGAATCTAGGCAACGATGCCTCAAAGAAGGGGTAGGAAAGCCTTGCAGGATAAAGGAACTGTTCTGAGTTCTATGTTTATGTGCAACCGAGACACTGTCTGAGACCACAGGCCCTGAAATCTGGAGGAAGTCTAACAGCGCCCCAGCCCTTCTTGGATGTGTCTGATACAAAAGACTGTGTGCCTTTGAATAGCCTACAAAGACAGTGAGTGAAATAAGACATCCTGACAGGTTTGAAGGTGGTCCATCCACTAATGTAGAGACGTCAGCTCTCTTAGAAAAACTTCTAGTGGTAAGTTTATGCTGTCTGGTTGGATGCTAAAACAGGTCTCCGCCACCCCTGATTGATACCAGAGAAACTCCCATTTTGAAGTCCCTAGATTCCTGGCTTCCATTTTGAATAAGCAAGAGTCACTCTGCCATTGGCTGACAGCTGCAGGTCATGTAGCACTAGGAATTAGCGGGAAAAACAAATTGGGGGGAAAAAGAAGGTGGTAAACAATGACTGACAGATTACAACACTGAGGTAAACAACAGAAATAACAGTAAAATGGTCAATTGACATGTGACCGTTAAAGTAGGGTATAAAAGTCAGCAGCAGCTGACAGTTGAGAGGTTGAGAAGGCAGCTGAGCAGAGAACTAATAAGGCAGAGGGAGGCGCATAAGAGGCAAGGGTGAGACAAAGGAGAAGAAGCAAGCAAGCAGAGGAAGAAGAGAAGGACGCAGCAGAGGAGTGAGAAAGGGAGAGAAAACAGAAAAAGATACTGTGCAGTCAGCTGAGTAAGTCTGTCAGACAGAGTAAGTTAATTAAGTCAGAGGCATAGTTTGACTTCTATATTTGGGGTATGTGAGTCTCCAGTCATGCCAACGGGGCCCATGCACATGGGGAGGGGGAAGGGGGGAATTCTGTGCCTGCCCACAGATTTTTGGGGGGGACAACTTTAACTATGATTCCACGGGCTACCTAGGCAACTGAAAACTCTACTTTTTTCCCCCCACAGATAATAACTTAGACATTATCTGACAGGAGCACTGTAACTAATTCCTATATCAAGAAAGAAAATTTAATATTAGACCCACTCAGCTCTAATACTACCATGTTCTGACATCTCGTGACAAGTTACTTAAGGGGCACAGGTTAGGTTTAAAATTGTAATGTATATTCTTACTGAGATACGCTTACTGAAGTCAGAAGTGACCATCATGATCATCTAGTCTGACCTCCTGCACTTTGCAGGCCACAGAACCTCACCCACTCATGCCTGTAATAGACCCCTAAGCTCTGGCTGAATTACTGAAGTCCTCACATCATGGTTTAAAGACTGCAAGTTACAGAGAATTCAGCATTTACACTAGTTTAAACCTGCAAGTTACCTATGTCCCATGCTGCAGAGGAAGGCAACCCCCACCACCCCAGGGTCTCTGCCAATCTGACCTGGGGAAAAATTCCTTCCCGACCCCAAATATGGTGATCAGTTAGACCCTGAGCAAGTGGGCAAGATCCACCAGGAAGATACCTGGGAAAGAATTCTCTGTAGTAACTCAGAGCCCTCTCCATCTATATCCTGTCTCCAGCCACTGGGGATTTTTCCTGCGGGCAGTAAACGATGGACCACACTCCTTTGTAAGCAGTCCTGTCATAATATAAATTTATCAAGCTCAGTTTTGAAGCCAGTTAGGTTTTTTGCCCTGCTGCTCCTCTTGGGAAGCTGCTCCAGATCTTCACTCCTCTGATGGTTACAAACCGTCACCTAATTTCAAGCCTAAACTTGTTGATGGCCAGTTTATAGCCATTTGTTTTGGGGTCCACATTACTGCTTAACTTAAATAACTCCTCTCCCTGTCTCCCTGATATTTATCCCTCTGATGTATTTAATTGGAGGCAATCATATCTCCCCTCAGCCTTCTTTTGGCTAAACAAGCCAAGCTCTTTGAGTCTCCTCTCATAAGGTAGGTTTTCCATTCCTCAGATCATCCTAATAGCCCTTCTCTGCACCTGTTCCAGTTTTAATTCATCTTTCTTAAAAATGGGAGACCAGAATTGCACAAAATATTCCAAATGAGGTATCACCAGTGCCTTGTATAATGGTACTAACACTTCCCTCTCTCTACTGGAAATACCTCACCTGATGCACCCCAGGACCACGTTAGCCTTTTTCACGGCCGCATCACATTGATAGTTCATAGTCATCCTGTGATCAACCAATACACCCAGGTTTTTCTCCTCCTCTGTCACTTCCAACTGATAAGTCCCAAGCTTACAGCAAAGATTCATGTTGTTAGTCCCTAAATGTATGACCTTGCACTTTGCACTATTAAATGTCATTCCTTTTCTATTATTCCAGTTTACAAGGTCATCCAGATCTTCTTGTATGATACTGCGGTTCTACTCCATATTGGTAATACCTCCCGACTGTGTGTCATCTGCAAATTTTATTAGCACACACCCACTTTTTGTGCCAAGGTCAGCAATAAAAATGTTAAATAAGATTGGTCCCAAGACTGATCCCTGAGGAACTCCACTAGTAACTGTAGTAGGAAGAGAGCCTGAGACATAAGCACTTGTATCAGAGGCCTGGTATGAGGCAGGACCTGCTCACAGAACCTGGCAAGAACAGGGCTGATATTGCAGAAATACACATTCCTAAGAAGTACTAGTTACAGAGTGCTCACGCAAACACATCCTGATATCAAGGATGGTACAAAAATATTCCCCAAGGATAACAGGAACACACTGATCACTCCTAAAAGATAAAGTCAGGATGACAGTACGTAATAGAAATGTTTTGATTGAACCAACACGTACAAGGTAATGGGTGATAACTAGCCACGTCAGTGGGCAGTAACGACAGTAACTATGTCAGGGGGCAGTACTAACTTGTCTGTATAAAGGGTATAAAGATGTATCTCAGAGGGAGTATCTTTGTCAGGTTAGGGAGGAATGGAAAGTCCCGCCATTCACTGAGCTGGTCCATTGTTATGGGCATACACATATTAGCGGTCCGGTAGAGTCTGTGGGATACTAGTACTGTGCTTCGTTGACAATAAACCTGGCTGGGTGCCTTCGTCCCTTAACGAATCTTGTGGTCATTGGGTGGTGTGCTCGAGGTCTGCCATGCCAGCTGTCTGCGCAGGGCTGGGGCGGCACACAGAGGGAACACACACATGCAGCCAAACATCTATCAACATCTAACCACACTGGTGATCCCGACCACTGATCTGGTAAGTAAGCAAGCTGTCCTCTGTAGGAATCGCGATCTAACATGACAGAAAACCACAAGCTAAGGAACAACATTAACCCTTCCCTGCTAATCTCCACAAACTTTAATAAGGTATGCATGTGCTGGATTGCTAGCAAAAGAGGGCCATATGAAATTAAAAAAATATAGTGGGGAAGAAATATGCAATGAAATCTGTAAGGCTAGGGCAAAAACTGTTGCCTTGAAATGTAGAATATTGCCAACTATAACCATGGCTGTTAAATGGTTAAGACAACACGCCACAAAACTGGCGGGGCAAGTATGAGAAACAAAAAGGTAGCTATCCTGTGCCTGATTGGGACAGAAATGGAAAAAGGTGGCCCTAGCAAAATTAAAAAAGATGAAACAAGGTCCACTGCATTGCAACCACCACAATATGATAAAAAGCTAGGTTCTAGTAAAACCTAACCGGGACGTAGACTGGTGCCTGTGAGAATGAGAGAAGTAAGTGCACCAGAGGGAAAAGTAGCAAACAATACTTTCACTAAATTGATAAATCAAATGAGGGAAAAAATGGAATGGTTCACAGAGCATATTAGGGACAGGAGTTGCGACTCGATTGCAGGGAAGTCAATAAAAAAGAATTTCAAAGTGAAAAACCAAAATTGAGCAGATTAACATATAAAATTAATGCATTAACAAATAGAGTTGCCCAAAAACAGTTAACTGCAGCATGGAAGGGCATTCCCACAATCCATTTGGCACACACACAAAAGCAACACACACTGGGGGAACAAACTCAGGTTTTATAAGAGCAAGTAACTACCCCGACTTTCCTCTTAGAGCCCTATAAAAACCCAGGGTTTGGGTTCCCAACTGCTTTGACCCATGGAACTACACTCCTCACTCAGAGTTAAAAATGTAACCTTCTTTCTCAAATATTTTTACATACTGGTTAAGTTTTCCTCTATATCCTCTCTCAATTTGCTAAACTCGCTGCTGTTACCTTTACCTTAAGATACCTTGATAAAGTTAATCTCTCTTGGCTCAGATCTTCCTATCTTCCTAGGTTGCTCTTCACCCCCCGTTTTCCCCGGACTCTCCTAACTTGTGCTCTCTTTGTTTTAAAAGTTATAGTTTTTACAGAAACCTCCAAAAGATAAAGCAATTGAAAACAGAATAAAACAACAATCAAACAAATAGAAAACAAGATAAAATTTTTACTTTAAATAAATCCAGTAAATTAATAATTTTAACCCTTTAGGAATGCAGCAGCTGGAATTACTCCTGCCAAGCAACAGAAATGCAGACTCTGCTTCTAATCCTAACCACTAACTAATATTTGAAACATGGACTTTCCTTATTATCACATAACAGAGTTTTAAAATTAAGTTAATATAAAGTAACATAAAATGCCTTAAGTTACTAAATTACCATATATACAGTGAAACCCCGCTATAACGCGATGTTTGGGGTCCAAAAAATTCCATCGCGATAAATGTGGGGTCGCGGTATAGCGGGGTTTCAAGCCGGTCAGTTTAAGTCAGTGGTCCCCAACGCGGTGCATTGATGTGCGCCGCCTAGTGCCTAGCGCCTGCCGGGGACAGAGAACTCCCAGGCTGCAGGCGCCTGTGCTCTCTGTCCCCAGCAGGCGCGGGGCTGCAGCTTCTCTCCAGCTTGGAGAGAAGCCGTGGCCCCGGGCCTGCCGGGGACAGAGAACTCCAGGGCTGCGGGTGCCAGTGCTCACTGTCCCCGGCAGGCTCGGGGCCGCGGCTTCTCTCTGGCTTCAAGAGGAGCCGCAGCCCCGCGCCTGCCAGGGACAGAGATCTCCGAGGCTGCGGGCACCGATGCACTCTGTCCCCGGCAGGCACGGGGCCGCGGCTCCTCTCCGGCTTGGAGAGAAACCACAGCCCCGCGCCTGTCGGGGACAGAGAACTCCAGGGCTGCGGGCACTGGTGCTCACTGTCCCCAGCAGGCGCGGGGCCGCGGCTTCTCTCTGGCTTCTCCGGGGCTGCAGGCGCCGGTGCTCTCTGTCCCTGGCAGGCCGGAGAGAAGCTGCGGCCCCGCGCCTGCCAGTGACAGAGAACTCCAAAATAAGTCTTGAAAAACTGTTGGCTCCCGCCACACTCTTCTCAAAACATGAATGTGCTACTGGCCACAAAAAGTTTGGGGACCACTGCCGTAATACTGTTCACGTTTTGCCGGAATACTATACTTTTTTTATGACATTTATAAATAAACCACGTTTTTCCAGTCTTATAGGATAAAGTGACTTGTGGCCATTGCACTTACTGTAGTTCTCAGGTTGTACATGTGTATGGTGTTTGACTATGAAGTTGTTATTAATTTCCTATATTTTAAAAAATATTTTACCTTTATGGATACGCCAGTTCGCAAATGCAAGTCGTTTTCTGCATGAGAGAAATTGTATGCCCTGGATCAACTAAAGAAGGGCAAACAACAAACTCAGCTTGCTAGATATCTAGGAATTAGCAAGTCCACTCTGCGAGGGTGGAAAAAAGAAGAAGAAAAGCTCCGTAGCCTACCTTGCATTCTTGAAGAGGAAACTGGTTTACAGCGCAAAAAGGTCAAGTTTGCTAATGACGAAAGCCTAGATTCAGCCTTGTATCAATGGTTTGTCCAGGCTCGCTCAGAAGGAGTTCCTATTTCTGGCCCTATTCTGAAAGCTCAAGCAGAGAAATTTGATCACCTTATCAATGGAAATGAATCCAAATTTAAGGCGAGTAACAGCTGGCTGGACAGATTCAAGAAAAGGCACGCGATAAGCCAAGTTCTTGTGTCTGGGGAAATCCGCTCAGCTGATAAAGAGGCTGCTGATTCCTACCCAATTGAGCTTAAAAAGTTGCTAGAGGAAGGTTGCTACACAGCCGATCAAGTTTACAACTGCGACGAAACTGGTTTATGCTTTAAAATGTTACCCGATCGCACCCTCGCAACCAAGACTGACAGTCACAAACGAGAAGGCTTTAAGCAGAGAAAGGACAGAGTCACTCTCTTGTTTTGCTTCAACAAGTCTGGCAGCCACAAACTCAGACCTCTGATGATCGGAAAAGCGAGGTCTCCAAGATGTTTTCATCATGTTAATATGAAAACGCTTCCCTTTGAATACACCAACAGCAAGAATGCATGGATGAATAGCTCCATATTTAAAGACTGGTTCCATAAAACTTTCGTGCCAGCCGTTCGGGCTCATTTGCGAAAACTGAAGCAGGAGGAAAAAGCTCTCATCCTGCTGGATAATTGCCCTGCCCACCCGCCAGCGGAAAATCTTGTCAGTCATGACGGCAAGATTAAAGTCTCTTATCTCCCGAAGAACACATCATCAGAAATCCAGCCACTGGACCAAGGCATCATATCGGTATTTAAACAAAACTATCGTCGGGAAATGATCAAGTGGATGGTAGCGGGTAACAACTCCTCTGTCCACACATCACTGCCATCACTCAACTTGAAAGAAGTCTGTCACCTCGGCGGGAAAGCTTGGGGTGCTATCTCCACACGTTGCATTGAACAGTGCTGGATAAAGGGTCTTGGTCCAGCTTTTCCATCATCTACACATGATGGTGGCAATGACGACGAGCCTGAATTTACAAGATTCATTGAAGACGATGTATGTTTAGCCAAAGAAGCACTCCAAGAATATGAGCACAGTCGTCAGATCCTCAACCGGTTTTCAGCAGATGACATCTGCCCCATATACGAACACATCTCAGATGACGAAATAGTTGCAAATGTCAGCGGGAAGAATGAAACTGCACCACCAGAGCCCGAAACCAGTGGCGATAATGATGACGACGATGATGATGGCACCTCAACTCCCCCACCAAAAGCGTCTGAGGCAGTAAAGCACCTAGAAGCCAGTTTGAGGTGGCTGGAAACTCAAGACGTGGAGAGCATCAAAATCCTCCAACTCCGAAGCATACTTGACTTTCCTAGAAGCCAACAGTCTGTGGCAAATAAGCAGACCACACTAGATAGCTTTTTTAAGAAGCGATGACATTTAAAATTATGAAGTTATGCAACAAGATTGACTTTGTACACTGCGCAATGATTAGTATACAGTACTGTAGTTGATTTCACATTTCTTTCATGTACATTTAATTAAATTACTACTTTTGTGTTTAAAACAGGCTGGGATAACCGTTGTTTTTTTTACAAGACTTAAACCAGTGGTCCCCAACCTTTTTGTGGCCAGTAGCACATTCATGTTTTGAGAAGTGTGTGGCAGGCGCCAACAATTTTTCAAGACTTATTTTGGAGTTCTCTGTCACTGGCAGGCACGGGGCTGCGGCTTCTCTCCGGCCTGCCAGGGACAGAGAGTACCGGCGCCTGCAGCCCCGGAGAAGCCAGAGAGAAACCATGGCCCCACGCCTGCCGGGGACAGAGAGCACCGGCGCCCGCAGCTCTGGAGTTCTCTGTCCCCGGCAGGCGCGGGGCCACGGCTTCTCTCCAAGCCGGAGAGAAGCCGCGGCCCCGCGCCTGCCAGGGACAGTGAGCACCGGCGCCCGCAGCCTCGGAGTTCTCTGTCCCCGGCAGGCGCGGGGCCGCAGCTTCTCTCCCCTGCTGGGCACTAGGCAGGGGCACATCAATGTCCCGGCGGGCGCCATGGCGTTGGGGACCACTGGTATTAGGCCTTAAAGGGGAGCCAACTTATGATTGCGTTATATAGGTCTGTTTCATCTTACGCGGGGGTTCCGTTCCGCGGTTAGCGCGTAAAGCGAAAACCGCGTATAGCCAAAACCCCATTGAGTTCAATGGTGGGCGAAATCACCCGCACTACAGGTATATTATTAAAATTGTTGTTTTTCTCTCTCTCTCTTTTTTTTTTTTTGGCCAACCACGTAAAGTTGATATCACGCATGTTAAATGCGCGTGAGATGCGACAGACCTGTATGCGATTTCGCATTATGGCGGGGCGCGTTATTGCAAGGTTTGACTGTACTCGATCATAAGCTGGGTCGTTTATAAGCCGACCCCCCCTCCAAGATGGAGAAGTAAAAATGGAAAATTTTTATGATCCATTCATAAGCCAACCCTATAATTCAGGGGTCAGCAAACTTTGGCTCCTGGGCCATCAGGCTAAGCCGCTGGTGGGCCGAGATGGTTTGTTTACCTCAAGTATCCACAGGCACGCAGGTAAACATAAGTAAACAAAGTGTCCCAGCATGCCAGCTGCTTACCCTGACGGGCCAGAACAGCAACTGGTGGGGAAATGTTTTTTTGGGGGAGGGGGAGAAGATGGGGGTCAGGGGAGTAACCCGTGACCACAAAAAAAATTCTCTTATTAATCAGAGTTTTTTTCTACATTTTAAAAAATTATTTTATTCAAAGAAAAACATTTAAGGGGAATCCTCAACATTAATGTAAAGGTAACATTAACAAAATGTCAATTTCTTGTTTGGGGTTTTATACACTTGTTTGCACTTTTAAATATAGTTATAAGAATGTCATAGCAAAATGTTTAAAAATAATAACTTGTGCATAAATATAACCAAACAATTTCAACAGGTTTCCACCTTTGGCTCCTAAACACGACAAAGTGTTACAAAACGTTAATATCCTCAAAGTGTTTGCATAAACTTGCATTTAAAATTCATCTGGGTTTAATTTTATACACTTTTCTTTTGTTATGTTAAACGGAAGCCGTGTTGTTAACATTTGGGCTTCTAAACAGTTAAAAGTGGAATTGGTATCACAAGCAAATTAACTCTAAAAAGCTTGGTAACAATTATGTTACTCTTTTGCTAAAACAGGGTGTTCAGCAAGGGAAAGCAATACAAATTCTCAGAAGATTGTGAGCATCTATTTTAGCAATTAAATATTATATTTAGTATAAAACATTAGTAATGCATTTCAGGTAAAAATAAATGTCTATACAATAATTGCAACTTGTGTTATAAAAGACTTGGTCCCTATTATATCGTAAACACATTAAGTTAATCTATGTATTAAATTTGGGTTACTGAAAACAAAAAAAATGTAAAACAAAAAAAACTTTATGATGTTAACTAACTAGCTGTTTAAGGTTGCATCCCACAGACCAAATACACCAGAAGATATCACACCACAAAAACATCAGAAGATATCAGTATACAGTGAAGGAATCCCCAAGCATCAAGAAAAGAAAAATGATGTGCTTTATAAATAAGAGACTGGTCAAATATACCTCAATCTACCATATATGGATAACTAAGTTGGCAATCAGTTAAAAACCATGTCAGTTAATTTAAACTTAGCTACTATGTAAAAGCAACTGTATTATTGCTGTATTGTTATATTATTGCTGTACATCATTTACAATGTGCATAACATTGCTTAACTGTTTAACCAACACACAGGTAAAAATCAACAGGCGAATGGCAGCAAACATGAAGGCAAGAAAAAACAAATTGGTAAAAAAAAATTAAGTTACATAGCAACTACAGATTGGGTAAACAAATTCCCTGGTAGTACCAGTCACACTTTGGGGTCTGTGTCACTGCATCCTAAGCAAGGCACATGTTATGCAAAACAATCTTGTTCAGTGTCTGGGTAACAATATTGGATAAATTGGTTACTGTCCATTCAGTAGGTTATCTGGAAGACAGCATCCATAAAAAATAAATGGATCTACATCAGCTACTGGTGTATCACAGAGCAATGCAACAAATGGAACAGAAAAGCTAGCAGTTCCTGTTTCCTGCCCAGCAAAGCTTACCCAAGGGTGACAACCAGCAGTAAGGGTAACCTATAACATGGATGGACAGTACTGTGTGCTAACTAAACACACAAAAAATAATATATGAAGACCTCATTTGTAATTAGGGTGACCAGACAGCAAGTGTGAAAAATCGGGATGGGGGTGGGGGGTAATAGACGCCTATAGAAGAAAAAGCCCCAAATATCGGGACTGTCCCTATAAAATAGGGACATCTGGTCACCCTATTTGTAATGTCACTACTCCAAATTTCTGTTTAAATCTCATATACTTAGCACAGTGGGACACACTGTAGCAATGCCTATCTCAGTATTTCAAAACACTCAGCCTACTACCAATAATGATACATGTGATAACTGTAATTGCCCTAATAGGAGTGTGTTGCTATCTGCGGCACCAAAGTAAAAGGGCCAGACTACAATACCATACTGGAAAAATATTGTTATGCTTGCATATAAGGTGGTGTCATATGTACACATATATACTATACATCTATACCCATATACATTACAAATACATACATTATTTCCATATTATTCATATGTATTAATTATCTGACAGTGCCCCAAGGCTCAATCATAAAACTATATTCCTCAAAGTCCCGGGCCTAACATCCCCAGGCCCACCATAAGGGACTAAAAACAATTGGAAAACAAAAATCTGTCCATCAGTCATACAAGGGAATTGTTATGAGAGGTTTTCTTTTCTTTTCACTTGCTTGGCCTCTGTGTAGATTGCAGCACCCTGGAGAGAGATACTGACAGCTGGGATTGGGGGGGGGGAGGGGAGAGAAGAGTGAGAAACATTGTAACAATACACCTTCTCCCAATTAGCATTAGTGTTAGTCTAGTGTTAGCATTAGAATGCTTTAGTTTTCAGGGAACAGTAGGTATTTTCAGGCTAGATGCTTTAGGGAAGTTATAATTAATGACAGTTTGTCGTTAAAAATACAATATGGCTGCTGCTATTATTTTCTATTAGGAATTCCCAAGATGGAGGATATAGACTAAATTAACCAATAGCAAGGGTTGAACAAAGTTCGGGAGAATGACTCAAAACACCTGCAGGGAGGGGACAGGAGAAGGAGTAGCTATGATGTAAGGGCAAAGCTGATTGGCTGAATGAGTTGTCACACACACAGGGAGCAGGCAGCTTGAAAGGTCAACCAATCAGAAAAGGTCAGAAAATGGAATATAAGGAGACAGCTGGCAAGCTGGAGTGTGTGGTGGGAGGAGGAGAAGAGAGAAGGAGAAGACTGGAGAATTATGTGAACATCTTTGAAGACCTGCCATGATGAGTGACCTTGAATCAACCAAAAGTGAAGTTAAGTATATGTGTGAAGGCCTTGTATCCTCAGGTTAGCTGTTACCACAAATAAGCATTTGGTAAATACTTGTGACGCCATAGACACACCAAATGGTAGGACAGAGTTGAAGGCATTGACAATAAAATTCAGATGCTTCCTGTAACCTGGATGGATTGACACATGGTAGTAAGCATCGTGGTATCTAAAGGGACTTTTGCATAAACAACCAATTTCAGTTTCAATGCTCTTTATCTCATTTTGATTCTTTTCCTTTTGTGTGTTTCAATCAACACATTTCTAACCTTTGGCATTAATTTTATACTGTTTGCGCCATGCTACTATACAGGTTAAGGTCTCTCTATACCAGGACCAGACCTTGTTTAACACTGCTGAATATTGGACAATGACTAAGTTATGTTAATACCTTGAACCCATACATTCCATCTAAATTCATACAACAGAGGTACTGACAAAGACAATCCTGTGCATGATGATACTGATGCAGATTTCTCAGCAGATAAAACCTTCCTATCAAGATGTGGTACGGAAGATTGTGAGGCAGACAGTATCAATGTAATTGGTAGTGATGTAATCACCAATGGCCAAGGAGTAACCATGCGGTACTGTAGCAGGGGAATGTGACTGCAGCATCTGAAGACTCTTCATGCTAGTCAGGTTTCAGAGGAACAGGCTTGGACAAGTCAGAAGAGTAGACTTCTTGGCTGGTACTGAGCACGGTGACCAATTCTGAGCTCCATCTGAAGGTCTCTGCTGCTTCCAAGCTTGCACAATAAGGGTCAATTACTAACCCAAAGAGATCTGAAGTGAAGGCTTAGAACATTTCTCAGATGCATGTCTTGGTGTCACAAGACCACTGAGCTCCCAGAGTAGCATCTCTTATAGCTAGAGTACTGAAAGGAGACAGGCTTTGAGGCGGCAGCAGTAGATTGTTTTGGAGGAGTCAGAGATGCTTTTTCATTGATCTTTCCATCAA